ATATTCTTACTCAGAATGCCAATGTTGCTATCGCAGTCTACTATGTAATTTTAAACCGCATTTTATTCGAATATCGAAGTATGTTTTCAGTTCGTTTTTTAAGTTTTACTCGAAAATCAGGCTTTTTTTTAAAAACATGAGAGAGTCGTAATTTATAGAAAATTGAAAGACGAATCCGAAAATATCATGGTTGTAACGGTAAAGTAGTGGTATACTATTTTATTTAGAAAAATATGCCACTGATACCCTATATCTCCGCCACTGGAGCATGTAAATTTTAGGAAATTTTGGACATTGTTTACATAAATACATGTGCCAAATTTCAAATTATTTCACTTACTAGTTTTTAAATTTTAAAAATATTTTTTGAAGTTTAACAAACTGTATCTTTTTAATGAAGCGTCCTAGATAAAAACTTTGTAGGAAAGATTCCCCTTAAAATTCACCAAAGAATACAAGGTTTCATTTTTGGCCACTGTTTGTGAATCAACCTGTATATGAACTAATTAATAATGACTTATTCTTCTTAATATGATAAATGTAAAGTAACTTTGACATACTGGTGACTGTAATTTAAATCTGAAAAAGTATTTTTACGTCGAATATTAACTACACAGTATTTGTTACTCTTTGTCTTCTTACTTTAATTTTCCACGTTAATGAAGCAAATATCGTCTTCTTTGTTCGGGTTAGTTAAATTAATAAATATACAGGGCTGGAAAATCACATGGTCCATCTGCCTTTACATGAGAGCGACAAAGTAAAGTAAAGAAATCCGTGCGATAGACAAGGATGGCTATAGTAAAAACATTTCATAATCAAAATAGTCACCGCCCGTTTCGGGTTAGAAGTGGGAGTGACTATTCAGATTATGAAACGTCTTCAATGTAACCATCATTGTCTATCGCATGGATTTCTATGACTTACTTTATCGCTCTCACGTAACGGCCGATGTACCATGGGGACTTTCCGAACCAGTATAGGGATATATTTTATCATGTTTATATTTATGATTATATAATTATTGTCATACAACTGTAATAATATATAGAATGTCCGGTTAAAACAATAAATAATGTGAAAACATTATTATCGTTGTTTACAAGATATATGAACTCTAAGTCTAGACAGTTATTTATCAGTACGTTCTCTTAACATGCGTCAAAAATACTGATAAGTATCAAAATAGCATTCCATTTGCAACACATATTTTCACTGAAGGGAATTCTGTCAGAACTGAAAATATCTAACCATTTTTAAAAGCATAATTTAAATTTATTAAACAAAAATAACTGCATAGAAAAACTTTATTTGAAATAATTTTATTTAGAATATATTTAAAAAAATTGACATAGTGTAATATACAGGGTGTGCCATTTAACACTCCCGCTGCCAATATCTCCGAAATTAAGAAATTTATTTTAGTTCCGGAAATTGGGGTTGTTAGGTTCCTTGAATAGCTTCAAATTGTAGTTAGTTCAAATCTTTCTGTATAGATGGCGTGGCGATACTAAAAAATTTTTGATCCCTGGAATCTGAAAGAACGTTACATTTTGAGTAATTTTTGTAATATACAGTTTTTCCCTATATTCACTTGTTTTTGAGATATGTCGACTTCAATATGCAATGTATGATGTAACAAGACAATCTATTATTTTATCTAAATCACACTGAGACAAATATTCTTTTAAAATATTGTTATAATGGCTATAAAGTCGACATATCTCGAAAACAAGTAAATAAGTATAGGGAAAAACTTTATATTACAAAAATTACTCGAAATTTAACGATCTTTCAGATGGACTGCATTTCCACGTTCCAGGGATCAAACATTTTTTTAGTATCGCCACGCCATCTATACAGAAGGATTTGAACTTACAGTTCTAACTACAATTTGAAGCTATTCGAGGAACCTAACAACCCCAATTTCCGGAACTAAAATAAATTTCTTAAATTCGGAGTTATTGGCGGCGGGAGTGTTAAATGGCACACCCTGTATATTCAACAAGGAAAAGTAATCATTGCTTCATATTTTTTAAGTAAATTTATATAATACAGTGCATTTTAATACCTTTTTTTTCTATATTTCAGTAAATCTGAAAATGAAATCAGGTAAGAACCTTTCTACAAAGAAATGTTCTTGCTCTTCAAGTTCATTATGTTCTTGATCACATGACAGTTTCACCAAAATACAATATTTTATTGTTCATTATATAAGCATTTTATTACCAGTTCCCTAAAAACCCTGGTGTGTAGGTAATGTACTTTAAATTCTAATTGTGTACCACTGATAACTATGCGAATCACAGTCTCATTTCATGTTTAAAATAAAACTGTGATAGATATATAATTAGTTCTTGATGTAAGTCAACATGGCTGAAGACTAATTTCACAGATTACATTAAGAGAAGGCACAGTTCAGTGCCCCATAATTATTTATACTTATTTTAAAAGGGTAAACGGTAAGAAATTCCATTTTCAAATACAGCAGTGATGTGCATTTTATTCCAAATAGCGTATGCTTCAGGGGAGGTGATTCCTTTATTGTCCAAGGTAAAACAAATGAAATACTAAATAAAGATAGGTGGTGGGGAGATACGTATAGACTTATATCGGAATTTTGGAGTAAAGTGTAAATTTGCATTCTAATAGTGCAGCAGGTGGCTGAAAATAGTTTGGCATCATTTTTGACGATGTTTTCTTTCATAGCTGGTTATAATTAATTAACAACATTGGCGTACAGGGAAGAAGTATTTAATTTATTAATTTTAATATAAGAATAGAAAGAAAGAAAGAAATTTTATTTAAATAGGAAATATCTAAAATACACAGTATCACATGCAGCATATATCTATAATTCTATTAAAAATACAATATACAATTATTATATGACGACATAAAATTTAACATGGGTATAATTTGCTGTATACTACTAATCTTGCTTATTTTAGAAAATCACAAAGTTTATGTTTAAATACATTTAAAAAGACAGAATTTTTAATATTACTTAACAAGGGGTTAAATTCTTTGAAACCTTTATAGAAAATAGTATTTTTCGCGGTTGCTCTTTTTGTATGATTCAAATATAAGCAATTTACATTTCTTGTATCATAATTTTATTATAATCTTTGTTCTCATCTATGCTAATATTTAATGGATGATTGGTCTCTCCAACAAAATTTTTATTGTATTCATAAGGTATACTCCAAATACGCTCTTTTTGAATTTCGAACATAATTATTTGAGCGCGTCTTTGGCAAAAAAGTTTGTAAAGTATTAATTGTCTGAAAAACTGTCCTATTGTCAAATTTTCTTCATATTCTCCTTAATTTTTCCGATAATACCGGAATATTTGTAATTTTTATTGTGGATGTAATTTGTTTGTGGACAGAATTTGTTTTAAAATTCAATATTTTTAAAAACTTTTCATTCGACATTTTCCAATTTTATTGTTTATTAATTTGAATTCATTACAAAATTTTATTTATTGAAGTAATTAATTTGGCTCTATCACACAAAGGTTTAAGTGCACCTTTCATTAGATCAACATAATGATTCGAATTAAAATTAGTGTTAGTGCGAGTTGGTTTTCTAGACTTATTTCTAAAGAATTGACATTGTTTTACTCAAAATATTGAGGAAGATCTTTTTTATTTATTGTATGTAATATATTTTTAATTTAACAGACAACTGATACTTTTTGGGCTTTTTTGTATTTATCTTGTGAATGCAATAAACATTATGTTGGGAACACCTGTCGACCTTTCAAAAATTTGCGACCACACTTGGGAAAACGGTCATAGAAATCAATAGGTTTGGACAAAATTCTGGAGAAGGAAAATAATACCGTTAAAAGAATATTAAAAGGACGATTATTTTATTACATGGTGAAAGATGTGTTTCAATTACAATGTGAACTTCGATCTTTGTTTGTTGTAATAAATATTACATGATACCTCTAGCTATGAAAAGAGAAACAAACACATTTCAACTCTCAAAACCAATTTAAAACTAAGTATCAGTCCAAGTTTGGATAACGAAAACAGTTTTATTTTCGCAACAACTTATTGAAGTCCGCGATATATAGTGATTTGTGAGATTTTCGGTAAGGCAAACCTATTTTCATAAAAAATAATCCTTTATTCATCTATTTAGCACAAAGGTTTATTTCATTATTTTTTATTTTTTTTCCACTGTTGGCAACATATTCAAATAAATGTGTTGTATGTATACGTTTAGTGGCTATCTCGCCCAATGGATTTTACGGTGCTATAACTCATTCAATTTTAAATTCATCTTCAAAAACTTAATTGTACTAAATTTCAACAACACATGATTTTATTAAAGAATATGAACATTTTATTTAAAAAAGCATTTTTTGCGCAAAAACGGAAATAAAGAAGTCACCAGTAAAAAGTTGTATTAATTATCGATCTGTCAGTCGCCAAATATATAGTACTTTTTTCAAAATACTGTTGTGCTCAACGATATTCTTCTTTAGTATTGTACTCGTATATGATATATGAATAAATTTGATTGCACTTTTATTTTAAGATAGTTAATTTTTGAAATTTTCTAACATTTTTTAAAGTACGACTTATATTCATTTCATACCAAGACAGAAGATCTCTTCAATCAAAAAAGGAAAATATAAATGTACGTGATTTGTGGTCTTTTACAAAGCATTTTTGGACATCATAAATAAAAACTTGTTTTTGAACAGCAGCAGTCAAAAAAAGAATAAAGACAAAGATATATCTTATTTTTTTAAAACATTATACGTTATCTTATCTGATTTCATGATTTATTTTAGTAATAGTTAATTATGTAGTTTATTTTGCATATGCAATGTAATCAGACTTATTGTTAGATATGGGTAGACATATTACTTATAACGTAAATCCTCTTTATTTTCTCTATTTCAAATCAAAGCCCCATCGACTAGCTCATTAATTTTTATTGATAGCAATGTGCTAAAATATTTTTGGTGTGTATTTCAGGACCACGACGCTAATAGGGGCGTACCTGAAAGATCTAGTTGGAATAAACCCCTGGAATTTGTGCTATCATGTCTGTGTTATGCAGTGGGATTAGGGAACGTCTGGAGATTCCCATATCTTTGTTACAGGAATGGTGGAGGTATGTATGTTCAAGTAATTCAATTAAGACGGATATATTTTATTAGCTCCACGGAATTTGTATTATTTTTATTAGAATGCTTCGCCATATCTGTTGCTATAAATTACATAAATTACACATACCTTTTATTAATAACAGATAAAAATAAGTGCGAGATCCATATTATTACATCTTATAAAGTATTAGGTATCTGATTAAAATTAGACAAAAAATACCTCTGAGATGTTTCACCGATGACACTTGGGAAAATGATATAGCTAAGGGCAAAAATTGAACATAAATCCATCAACCAAGTGGCTAAAATAGCAGCATGCACTGTTATTAACAAGCCCATAATTTATATACCATTTGTTATTTTAGAAATTAGAAGTGGACAGTTAATTTCTCATATTGATCCTTTGAGAAAAAATATACAGGGTGTCCCTGAAAAGAATGGACAACGCTTGACCGCAGGTTCCTTGGATGAAAATAAGACTATCTAGCCTAACTTACCTATATTCACACACGCTTAGTGAGATATAGCCTTCTAAATATAGAATAGATAATCTAGTTTTTTTTCAAATAATTTGAAAACTAGTTTTCTTAGAAAATTCAAATTTGGTACACTTATTTTTTTTATATAAGCGCAACGTAAATAAAAAAAATTGGTGATAATACATATACAGGATGTTATCTTTCTAGTGCCTGTGCGCCACTGGCTATCCCGTATTTTTTTTGTGTGTATGCCAGTAAGGACAAAATTTATATATTTAAAAATAAGCTCTTACAAAATTTTGATATCGTTTATGGACTTCGAGTAAAATTGGCATTTTTTATACATTAAGTATAGGCAAAAATTCCGATTTGTAAAAAATAATTTATAACTGCAGCCTCAAAGCAGGGAATAATAATGAAAAAACATCACATTAAAAAAATAACTACGCATTTTTAGTCTTAGTATTATCAATCAATAAAATAAAAATCAACACTAATATTTTAAATAAACAATATCAACTAATAATGTAAGAAAGTCAACATTAACATTTTAAATAAACCTAAATTGATATTTGTAGTCATATTAAAATAATATTGCAGTAAATGCTCAAAGTGTTTCTTAAACGCAAACATTAGTTCCTCGGAAATTAAAATGAATTTTATCCAATAATTGTGCATTACCTCTCATAACATTAATTTCATGTTCTATTCTTTCCCATTATTCGTTTTCTGTATTTACTGAAAAGTTATAAACTGTGGTCCTCAAGGCTCTCCAAAGGAAATAATTACAGGGGTTTAGATCCGGGGATCGAGGTGGCCATTTTAAAGGGGCATTATTTCCTGTACCTATCCACCTGTTAGGATAGTAACCTGTAATAACTAGTATTTAAATACTTTATTAACGGAACTTTTTGAAAGCCAACATCTGCCGCTAAACGCCTTGTATTTACTTGAGGAATTTCTTCGACCCTTTCCAAAATTTATTCCTCTAGCTGAATAGTTCCGGCCGTACGTTATCCACGATTTAATGTTACATGTAAAAAAAACGTCTTGTTTCCCGAAGGCGTCTCTCCGCATTAGCAAATGTTCGATTAGGAAATCTTTCAGCATATGTTCAAACAGTAGCACAACAGTTTCCTTCACAATAACCCAGAACTAATAACATATCAGTTGTTATATGGCATCTCGTACTAGACTGTTCTAATGATCTTAAACTGATTTTATATTATTTAATGTGTAAAAATGCCAATTTTACTCGATCCATAAACGATATCAAAATTTTGTAAAGGCAAAATATCTTCTAAAATAGTGCTTATTTTTAAAAATATAATTCTGCCGTCATTGGCGTACACCCAAAAAAAGTTACGGGATAGCCAGTAGCGCACAGGCACTAGAAAGAGAACATCCTGTATATGTATTCTCACCAAATTCTATATACAGAGTGTTTCTAAAATAGGGTTCCAAACTTCTGCTGCGTTTATAACTCATTAAAATAAGCCAAAAAGTTCCTATTAACATGTGCCCTAAAACGCACTCTTAGGAAGTTATATGCCCTTAAAAGGGCTCAAACAAAACTTAAATTTTCCACTCACCACTTTTACTAATTAAACACTGCAAAGCTGAATTGACAGTTTATCAATAACTTAAATTGTTAAGCGTTGTGGCAACGTCAGTCTTTTATTTGCCATGGTAAACAGATTTTTGTAATTTTTGGCCTAATAACTTAAAGAGCAGAGTAATTTTCAAACTCAATTTACTCGAAAACCATTGGAAATATCGATTTGGACAAAGATAATATTTTTTACGTAAAATTGTTAAGATTTTATAAATCTGTAGAGAAAATTGTAAAAAAATTGAAATAAAAAAAATTACGGGCCGAAAACCCCCTTCACCAACCTAAATGGGACGCATATGATTTGCATGTCGAAAAACGGAGTAGCCCATGTTATTTAACGTAAAAAGTTATGTAAGACCCATAAATTTTTTTCTATTTATTTGCGACCGTTTTGTTAATAACAAAAAAAAAACAGTTTTGTTTGAGCCCTTTTAAGGGCATATAACTTCCTAAGGGTGCGTTTTAGGGCACATGTTAATAGGAACTTTTTGGCTTATTTTAACGAGTTATAAACGCAGCAGAAGTTTGGAACCCTATTTTAGAAACATCCTGTATACATTGACTTATATAAAAAAATATGTATACCCAATTTGAAGTTTCTAAGAAAAACAGTTTTCAAATTAATTGAAAAAAACTAGGTTATCTGTTCTATATTTAGAAGGCTATATCTCAGTAGGCGTGCATTTTTATATATAGGTAAGTTACACTAAATAATCTTATTTTCATCCAAGGAACATGTCAAGCGTTGTCCATCCTTTTCAGGGACACCCTGTACTTTGAGTGTGAATGAGAAAGAACGTACAAAATAGGTACTGGCACAAAACTTTGTACTTGCTGATAGAGAGCGACCTACTAATCTGTAGATATCATGAAATCAAGACATACTATATGCGAAATAAAGTTTTTAACAAGTAACACTGTTAGTTGTCTCTACTGGTCTACGTCTGGAGATTTTGCTAACAAAGATCTTACTTGTTCACTAGATATTTTTACAAGAATGTATATCAGTGCCGAATGGGAATGTAGTCCGCAGAGTAATTGTTTTCCACAATATCATTTAATTAAATAATGTTCCTTTAGATTAACTATTTTTTAATTTTAAAATCAGCTTGTCATAGGGTTGAATAAAACTTAAACTATTTGTTTCATAAAACCAAATGTGTAGAACTGTTTTCTAACAATACAATTTTAAATATTACGTAACTACCGAAAGCCGTTTCAGAAATAGAGAGGAAAAACAGAACGTGCTCACTAGAAGGGGCTCCCACAGGAGGAATGATATTTTCTGTATATTCTTATAGATTTACGCTGTATCCTAGCGGGACCGTGCGATGCGGGCGGTGCGGACATTGCACGAAACGTAGATTTTAGCGGGAAATGCGGAGGTGGCAAATTAGAATATGACAAAACTCAGCGTGCGTTTCGTTTATAATTTTAGTAGCAAATAGTTTGTCGAGTTGAGAACAATGTCTTTCAGTTCGATATGTGACATTTTGCTAATAGAAAACAGTTTGGTGAAAAAATTTTAAGAAAACTAAAAAATAGGAGCAGAAGAGTAAATACTCATGTAATATACAGGGTGTTAATGAAAACTAAAAAATAGGCGCAGAAGAGTAAATACTCATGTAATATACAGGGTGTTAATGATAAGTTTTGCCAAACTGTAATGGAGTATTCTACGGATGAAAATAATCAAAGTTTGCCCTATAAAAATTTTTGATAGGACGCTTCCTTACGGAGATACAGGGGGGTGTTAAAAATTTCAAATATTTATATTATTTTATAAGGTCCAGAAGCCATTCGTGGTTATAGTTTTTCCGAAGTCAGTTGAACATGTATAAAAACGTCTAGCAATAAAATTTAATGAGTTTCATAGGCGTCCCTAAAAAAAGTTTTCTGCTAAAGGTAAAAAATTATAATAATTTGTATATAATGTGTAGAAAATTTCTATTATATGTTCATTTGGCCAACAACATATTTTAATTATTTATGTCCTCGAACAATTTTATTATATTGATGGTAAATTTCGTTTTGTTCTGTTTCAAAAGGTCTCCAAAATGCCTTGTTACAATAATATTAGTAAACAAAATATCCCTCTTATTTCTCCCTTTCGCAATTGTAATATGAATAAAAGGTGCCTATAATACTCGTAAATTAAAATTACCTCACCGCAAATTCCGCATCGCTAAGCAATTTATCAACAACTGAGATTTATTGCCCAGTGCGACTGTGTTATACGCCATTTGCTCACGCGCCCATTCTACCACTTCCACGTTTCGACCAGACCTGTATATGGGGTAAAATAAATATGGGAACAAGTTTTTTAAATATTTCAATGTCGACTTGCTGCGTCAGCGACCGAACCTCGTACGTACTGCCAACCTCTTGGTTCTTCGATTGAAATCGGAAAGACTATACTGTTGTCAATGTCATGACAGTTATTTGATATTTAGAACATGGGCAATATTAAAAAACAATAAGTTTTGCAAGAGTATTCTGATGTAGATGACTAATAAAAAATACGAGGTACCCATTAGAGCGCTACTAAATGATATTAAACTTTAGAGTACCCTGGGTGGTAACCATTTATGACTAATATACTTTTTTGGAATATTTGAAAAATTCATGAGTAGAGCCAACTGAGGTCAGATTCGGTTTTGCGGACCAAAATACATAGAAATGCAATGGTTTAGTTGCGCACGACTTTTTTCATTTGTGGATCAGTGTAATTTTTGAACTTTAGCAGCTTTGAAAAACAGTATATTAGAAATCGCTCAATTTTGAGGGCTATGGTTATTGACTTTTTATTTGCTATACCTACCAAGTACTACAATTTCGTACACTTTTGTGGGTCCAAAGTCCCATAAGACCTTGATACTTTTCTTTAAAATTGTTTTGGTAACTATGTCCT